CCAGAACTGTGAAGGCTTTTTTACATGTCGTTTGGCAAACTCTAATCTGGCCTTCCTGTTTTTGAGGCTCACCAATGGTTTCCATCTTGTGGTGAACCCTCTGTATTCACTCTGGTGAAGTCTTCTCTTGATTGGTGACTTTGACACACATACACCTACCTCCTGGAGAGTGTTCTTGATCTGGCCAACTGTTGTGAAGGGGTTTTCTTCACCAGAGAAAGAATTCTTCGCTCATCCACCACAGTTGTTTTCCGTGGTCTTCCGGGTCTTTTGGTGTTGCTGAGCTCACCGGTGCGTTCCTTCTTTTTAAGAATGTTCCAAACAGTTGTTTTGGCCACGCCTAATGTTTTTGCTATCTCTCTGATGGGTTTGTTTTGTTTTTTCAGCCTAATGATGGCTTCACTGATAGTGACAGCTCTTTGGATCTCATCTTGAGAGTTGACAGCAACAGATTCCAAATGCAAATAGCACACTTGAAATGAACTCTGGACCTTTTATCTGCTCATTGTAATTGGGATAATGAGGGAATAACACACACCTGGCCATGGAACAGCTGAGAAGCCAATTGTCCCTTTACTTTTGGTCCCTTAACAAGTGGGAGGCACATATGAACATATATAGAACACCTTTGGGATGAATTAGAGCGGAGACTGTGAGCCAGGCCTCCTCCCCCGACATCAGTGCCTGACCTGACAAATGTGCTTCTGGAAGAATGGTCCAACCTTCCCATAGACACCCTCCTAAACCTTGTGGACGGCCTTCCCAGAAGAGTTGAAGCTGTTATAGCTGCAAAGGGGCGGGGCCAACTCCCATTGAACCCTACGGACTAAGACTGGGGGGCCATTAAAGGTCATGTGTGCCTCAATATTGAACCTACGGACTAAGAATGTGGGCCATTAAAGGTCATGTGTGTGGAAAGGGCGGGGCCAACTCAATATTGAACCCTACGGACTAAGACCAACCATTAATATGTGTGTGGAAAGGGCGGGGCCAAACTCAATTTGAACCCTACGGACTAAGACTGGGGGGCCATTAAAGGTCATGAAGGAAAGGGCGGGGCCAACTCAATATTGAACCCTACGGACTAAGACTGGGGGGCCATTAAAGGTCATGTGTGTGGAAAGGGCGGGGCCAACTCAATATTGAACCCTACGGACTAAGACTGGGGGGCCATTAAAGTTCATGTGCATGGAAAAGTCGGCGGCCCAATACTGCGGGCAATATAGTGTATATCATACAGGAGTGACATCACTGTTCTCCAAACATAAGATATATCATATAGTAGTGACATCACCGCTCTCTGGGTAGAAGTTATACATAGTGACAATATAATACTGTTTTTTACATATACTGTACACAGATAACTATTTGAGTGTATTTTCCCTTTAATGTAACATTTGTTTGTTGATCTAATTATAATGAATGTTTCTCCTCGTTGTTAATGTTCTTCTGTGAAATCTCTCCTCGATGGCAGCGGAATATTTCGGTGTCACTTAGCACCATACAATTGTATTTTCATTAATCAGAATATTGTGTGTCTCCCGGTAACAGATGTTCCCTCATCAGATAATCGTTGTGATATCTCTCCAATCCACTTGCTGCTAATAAGAACGTTTAATCCTCTATTATTATTATGTGTTTTCCTCTCTCTCCGTCTCTGAAATATTCTATCGCGTCCTTCAGTTTTTTTTTTTTTTTAGTCTCTTATTTCCTTGTTTCTTGAACTGAACATCTGTTACAAAATTACTAATTGACACTTTGTAGAAAGAAGTTGATGAAATTTATCAGGATACAAAGGGCAACATCTTAGCAAATCTACAACTCTCCAGAGTAACACTGAGAAGCGTAGACGCAGTGGTCGGGTAATGTTGAGGAGCGTAGACGCAGTGTTTTGGGTAATGTTGAGGAGCGTAGATTGCAGTGGTCGGGTAATGTTGAGGAGCGTAGACGCAGTGGTCGGGTAATGTTGAGGAGCGTAGACGCAGTGGTCAGGTAACGGTGAGGAGCGTAAACGCAGTGGTCGGGTAATGTTGAGGAGCGTAGACGCAGTGGTCGGGTAATGTTGAGGAGCGTAGACGCAGTGGTCGGGTAATGTTGAGGAGCGTAGATGCAGTGGTCGGGTAATGTTGAGGAGCGTAGACGCAGTGGTCGGGTAATGTTGAGGAGCGTAGACGCAGTGGTCGGGTAACGGTGAGGAGCGTAAACGCAGTGGTCGGATAATGTTGAGGAGCGTAGACACAGTGGTCGGGTAATGTTGAGGAGTGTAGACACAGTGGTCGGGCAATGTTGAGGAGCGTAGATGCAGTGTTTGGGTAATGTTGAGAAGTGTAGATGCAGTGGTCAGGTAACATTGAGGAGCATAGACGCAGTGGTCAGGGAGCGTAGATGCAGTGGTCGGGTAACATTGAGCAGCATAGACGCAGTGGTCGGGGAGTGTAGATGCAGTGGTTGGGTAACATTGAGGAGCGTAGACGCAGTGGTCGGGGAGTGTAGATGCAGTGGTTGGGTAACATTGAGGAGCATAGACGCAGTGGTCGGGGAGTGTAGATGCAGTGGTTGGGTAACATTGAGGAGCGTAGACACAGTGGTCAGGTAATGTTGAGGAGCCTAGATGCAGTGATCGGGAAGTGTAGATGCAGTGGTCAGGTAATGTTTAGGAGCATAGATGCAGTGGTCGGGAAGCGTAGATGCAGTGGTCAGGTAATGTTGAGGAGCCTAGATGCAGTAATCGGGAAGTGTGATGCAGTGGTCAGGTAATGTTGAGGAGCATAGACGCAGTGGTCGGGAAGTGTAGATGCAGTGGTCAAGTAATGTTGAGGAGCATAGGTGCAGTGGTTGGGAAGCGTAGATGCAGTGGTCAGGTAATGTTGAGGAGCATAGACGCAGTGGTTGGGAAGTGTAGATGCAGTGGTCAGGTAATGTTGAGGAGCCTAGATGCAGTGGTCGGGGAGCGGAGATGCAGCGCTCAGGTAACGTTGAGGAGCATAGACGCAGTGGTCGGGGAGTAGAGATGCAGTGCTTAGGTAATGTTGAGGAGCATAGACGCAGTGGTCGGGAAGCGTAGATGCAGTGGTCAGGTAATGTTGAGGAGCATAGACGCAGTGGTCGGGAAGCGTAGATGCAGTGGTCAGGTAATGTTGAGGAGCCTAGATGCAGTGGTCGGGAAGCATAGATGCAGTTGTCAGGTAATGTTGAGGAGCCTAGACACAGTGGTTGGGGAGCATAGATGCAGTGGTCAGGTAATGTTTAGGAGCATAGATGCAGTGGTCAGGAGGCGTAGATGCAGTGGTCAGGCAATGTTGAGGATCATAGACGCAGTGGTTGGGAAGTGTAGATGCAGTGGTCAGGTAATGTTGAGGAGCATAGACGCAGTGGTCGGGGAGCGGAGATGCAGTGCTCAGGTAATGTTGAGGAGCATAGACGCAGTGGTCGGAAGCATAGACGCAGTGGTCAGATAATGTTGAGGGGCATAGACGCAGTGATCGGGAAGTGTAGATGCAGTGGTCAGGTAATGTTGAGGAGCATAGACGCAGTGGTCGGGAAGTGTAGAGACAGTGGTCAGATAATGTTGAGGAGCATAGACGCAGTGGTCGTGAAGCGTAGATGCATTAGTCAGATAACGTTGAGGAGCATAGACGCAGTGGTTGGGAAGCGTAGATGCAGTGGTCAGGTAATGTTGAGGAGCATAGACGCAGTGGTCGGGAAGCGTAGATGCAGTAGTCAGATAATGTTGAGGAGCATAGACACAGTGGTTGGGTAACATTGATTGGCCTCAAATTTATTCTGCAGCAGGACAATGGCCCCAGACATACAGCCAATGTCATTAAGAACTATCTTTAGAAGAACAAGGAGTCCTGGAAGTGATGGTTTGGCCCCCACAGAGCCCTGATCTCACCATCATGAGGGCCTGTCTGAGATGACATGCAGAGACAGAAGAACCTGAGGCAGCCAACGTCCACAGAAGATTGGAGCATAGTTCTCCAAGTTGTACATAGAACAACCTACCTGCTGAGCTCCTTCAAAAACTGTGTGCAAGTCTACCTAGAAGAAGACAAAGGGGGGGGGGGGGGGTCACATTACATATTAATCGGATTTGGATTTCTCTTTTCTTTATTCACTTTCAATTTTGTTAATTGATAAAAATAAACAATTGACACTTCTATTTCTGAAAGCATTCTTTATTTACAACATTTTGCCAAAAATATTGGGCCGCCGGCCTTTCCACACACACGACCTTTAATGGCCCCCCAGTCTTAGTCCGTAGGGTTCAATATTGAGTTGGCCCCGCCCTTTCCACACACATGACCTTTAATGGCACCCCAGTCTTAGTCCGCAGGGTTCAATATTGAGTTGGCCCCGCCCTTTCCACACACATGACCTTTAATGGCCCCCCAGTCTTAGTCTGTAGGGTTCAATATTGAGTTGGCCCCGCCCTTTGCAGCTATAACAGCTTCAACTCTTCTGGGAAGGCCGTCCACAAGGTTTAGGAGGGTGTCTATGGGAAGGTTGGACCATTCTTCCAGAAGCACATTTGTCAGGTCAGGCACTGATGTTGGGGGAGGAGGCCTGGCTCACAGTCTCCGCTCTAATTCATCCCAAAGGTGTTCTATGGGGTTGAGGTCAGGACTCTGTGCAGGACAGTCAAGTTCCTCCACCCCAAACTGGCTCCTCCATGTCTTTATGGACCTTGCTTTGTGCACTGGTGGGCAGTCATGTTGGAACAGGAAGAGGCCATCCCCAAATTCTTCCCACAAAGTTGGGAACATGAAATTTTTCAAAATGTTGCCTTAAGAGTTTCTCTTCACTGGAACTAGGGGGCCAAGACCAACCCCTGAAAAACAACCCCACACCATAATCCCCCCTCCACCAAACTTTACACTTGGCACAATGCAGTCAGGCAACTACCGTTCTCCTGGCCACCGCCAAACCCAGACATGTCCATCGGATTGCCAGACAGAGAAGCGTGATTGGTCACTCCAGAGAACATGTCTCCACTGCTCTAGAGTCCAGTGGCAGCGTGCTTTACACCACGGCATCCGACGCTTTGCATTGCACTTGGTGATGGAAGGCTTGGATGCAGCTGCTCGGCCATGGAAACCCATTCCATGAAGCTCTCTATGCACTGTTGTTGGGCTCATCTGAAGGCCACACCAAGTTTGGAGGTCTTTAGCCATTGACTCTGCAGACAGTTGGTGACTTCTGCGCACTGTGCGCTTCAGCATGTGCTGACCCCGCCCTGTCATGTGACGTGGCCTACCACTTGGTGGCTGAGTGGCTGTTGTTCCCAGTTGCTTCCACTTTGTTATAATCCCACTAACAGTTGAGCGTGGAACATTTAGTAGCCAGGAAATGTCACGGATGGACTTATTGCCCAGGTGGCCACCTATCACGGGACCACGCTTGGAGTCACTGAGCTCCTGAGAGCGACCCATTCTTTCACCAATGTTTGTAGAAGCCGTCTGCATGCCTAGGGGCTTGATTGTATACACCTGTGTCCATGGAGGGGATTGGAACACCTGAATCACATGATATGGAGGGGATTGGAACACCTGAATCACATGATTTGGAGGGCGGGGACAATACTTTTGGCAAAATATAGTGTATATATTACAGGTGAAACTCGAAAAATGAGAATATGGTACAAAAGTTCATTTATTTCAGTGCAGCAACTTAAAAGGTGAAACTAATATATGAGACTCATTCCTTGCAAAGCAAGATAGTTCCAGCCGTGATTTGTCATCATTGTGATGATTATGGCTTACAGCTCATGAAAACCCCAAATCCACAATCTCAGAAAATGAGAATATTCCATGCAATCAATAAAACACGGATTGTACATAGAACAATATCGGACATCTCTGAAAAGTAGAAGCTGCATATGTACTCAGTACTTGGTTGGGGCCCCTTTTGCAGCAATTACTGCCTCAATGCGGCGTGGCGTGGAAGCTATCAGCCTGTGGCACTGCTGAGGTGTTATGGAAGACCAGGATGCTTCAATAGCGGCCTTCAGCTCTTCTGCATTGTTCGGTCTCATGTCTCTCATATTTCTCTTGGCAATGCCCCATAGATTCTCTATGGGGTTCAGGTCAAGTGTGTTTGCTGGCCAATCAAGCACCATAATCCCATGGTCATTGAACCAGGTTTTGGCAGTGTGGGCGGAGCCAAGTCAGCATCCCCATAAAGCTGAAAATGAAGTCAACATCCCCATAAAGCTGGTCTGGGGAAGGAAGCATGAAGTGCTCCAAAATCTCCTGGTAGACGGCTGCGCTGACCCTGGACTTAATGAAGCACAGTGGACCAACACCAGCAGATGACATGGCTCCCCAAATCAACACAGACTGTGGAAACTTCACACTGGACTTCAAGCATCTTGCAGTGTGTGCCTCTCCATTCTTCCTCCATACTCGGGGTCCTTGTGCCTCTCCATTCTTCCTCCATACTCGGAGTCCTTGTGCCTCTCCATTCTTCCTCCATACTCGGGGTCCTTGGGCCTCTCCATTCTTCCTCCATACTCGGGGTCCTTGGGCCTCTCCATTCTTCCTCCATACTCGGAGTCCTTGGGCCTCTCCATTCTTCCTCCATACTCGGGGTCCTTGTGCCTCTCCATTCTTCCTCCATACTCGGGGTCCTTGGGCCTCTCCATTCTTCCTCCATACTCGGAGTCCTTGGGCCTCTCCATTCTTCCTCCATACTCGGGGTCCTTGGGCCTCTCCATTCTTCCTCCATACTCGGGGTCCTTGTGCCTCTCCATTCTTCCTCCATACTCGGGGTCCTTGTGCCTCTCCATTCTTCCTCCATACTCGGGGTCCTTGTGCCTCTCCATTCTTCCTCCATACTCGGGGTCCTTGTGCCTCTCCATTCTTCCTCCATACTCTCCATTCTTCCTCCATACTCGGTCCTTGTGCCTCTCCATTCTTCCTCCATACTCGGGGTCCTTGTGCCTCTCCATTCTTCCTCCATACTCGGGGTCCTTGGGCCTCTCCATTCTTCCTCCATACTCGGGGTCCTTGGGCCTCTCCATTCTTCCTCCATACTCGGGGTCCTTGGGCCTCTCCATTCTTCCTCCATACTCGGGGTCCTTGTGCCTCTCCATTCTTCCTCCATACTTGGGGTCCTTGTGCCTCTCCATTCTTCCTCCATACTCGGGGTCCTTGGGCCTCTCCATTCTTCCTCTACACTCAGGGTCCTTGGGCCTCTCCATTCTTCCTCCATAATGTGCTTTGATACAGCACTTTGGGAACATCCAACTTCTTCTGCAATGACCTTTTGAGGCTTTCCCTCCTTATGGAGGGTGTCAGTGATGGTGTCAGGTCAGCAGTCTTTCCCATGATTGTGATTCCTACTGAACCAGACTGAGAGACCATTTCAAGGCTCAGGAACCCTTTGCAGGTGTTATGGCTGAATGAGCTGATTAGAGTGGGACACTTTGAGCCGAGATTATTCCACCTTTTCACAATATTCTCATTTTCTGAGATTGTGGATTTGGGGTTTTCATGAGCTGTAAGCCATAATCATCACAATGATGACAAATCACAGCTGGAACTATCTTGCTTTGCATGGAATGAGTCTCATATATTAGTTTCACCTTTTAAGTTGCTGCACTGAAATAAATCAACTTTTGCACCAGATTCTCATTTTTCGAGTTTCACCTGTATATAGCGCCAACAGTTTGCTCAGCACTTTACAATACAGCAACGATACAGTTCAATACAAGAGGGATAGGAGGGCCCTGATCCTGGGAGCTTACAATCTAAGAGTATATATATATATATACTACTGACCCAGGTTTATTGTTGAGTGGGCAGTAAGGTGTAATTTACTTTGTTAGTATGTTGCTGATTGCAGCACCAAATCATATATACTCTTGCCTCTCTAGTTTAGGGCTACATATAAGGCTGGAACATTACACTGAGTAATTCATGTCAGTGGAGTAGAAAGGTTGTCACCGGAAAAGGAAGTGAGGAGAAATCTGCCATTGGGGACACCATGTTCAAGTGACAACTGTTTGAGTTGTTATTTATTTCATAGTATGAAGAATGTAGCAGGAAGAGTGATGAGCTCAGGATCCTAGTTTGAACCCACTTAAGTGAGCCCACCAGGCAGTTGGTACCTGTACTAGGCTTTACCCGCCCCACAGGTAGCATGTATATGAGGGGCGTGTATATGTGCGGAATGCCTTGGCCGCTTTTAATTGGCCCAGTAGGTGACCCCTTCCTAGTGGGCTTGCTTAGGTGAGTTTGGACTAGGATTATAGCAGGGAGATCTCGCTGTTGGAGAATCCAGGACCTAAAGAAAACCAGGAGCTGCACAGCCCGCCAGGCTCCATCTATAACTAAAAATGTCACTTTTGGGTGGATTGTCCCTTTAATTCACATCATATAGTGGGTCTCTTAATCTTTTTTTCACCCCCCCCCCCCCAAGATACATTATGTAATTTTCTTCCTTCCTGCCACCTGTGCCCAGATCCTCGGCATTGTCCATCCCGGCGTTGTACATCCCCGACGTTGTCGATCCTCAGTGTTGTCGATCCCCAGTGTTGTCCATCCCCGGGGTTGTCGATCCCCGATCCTCAGTGTTGTCCATCCCCGGCGTTGTCCATCCCCGGCGTTGTCCATCCCCGCGTTGTCCATCCCCGGCGTTGTCGATTCCCGGCGGTGTCCATCCCCAGCGTTGTCCATCCCCGGTTTGTCGATCCCCGGCGTTGTCCGTCCCCAGCGTTGTCCATCCCCGGCGTTGTCCATCCCCGGCGTTGTCCATCCCCGGTGTTGTTGTTCCATGTCCGGCGTTGTCGATTCCCGGCGTTGTCCGTTCCCAGCGTTGTCCATCCCCGGCGTTGTCCATCCCCGGCGTTGTCCATCCCCGGTGTTGTCCATGCTGGGCGTTGTCGATTCCCAGCGTGGTCGATCCCAGCATTGGCAATCCCTGGCATTGTCGATCCTCGCCGTTGTCAGTCCCTGGCATTGTCCATCCCCGGCGTTGTCAGTCCCTGGCGTTGGTGATCCTCGGCGTTGTCCATCCCCGGCAATGTCCATCCCCGGTGTTGTCAATCCTCGACGCTGTCGATTCCCGGCTTGGTCGATCCCAGCTTTGGCAATCCCCAGGGTTGTCGTTCCCGGCGGTCGTTGTCGATCCCAGGCGCTGTCAATCCCTGGCGTCGTCGGTCCCCAGTGTTGTCGATCCCGGGAGTTGCCGATCCTCAGCATTGGCAATCCCCAGCATCGTCGGTCCCCGGCGTCGTCGGTCCCCGGCATTGCCTGCGTTGTTAATATGTAACCGTGCACCGGGAAGGCAAGCAATCCATATTCCAAGCATTCTGTGAGATTAGAGGTTAACTCAGACTGACGACCAGAAAAGAAAACACAAGAAGCCGAAAAAAAGATTTTGTTTATGTACATGGCGGTGAACAGCGGATTCATTACCATCGGGCGGAGATTTACAGTCGGAGGCAGCGAGGTGTTTTATACCGCCGCATGCAAAGAGCCTTCATTTTTATGAGCATTGCAATCTTTTTTTTTTGCTTCCTACACATTTTTCTATTAAAGTGAAGCGAAACCTACATTTTTAAAAATGATTGCGCAGCTCAGCGTTCATTCCCCACATACTGCAGCTGTGCCGGATTGACTGACTCCCATTCGTGGGATCACGTCACCCCCCACCGGCCAATCAAGGGACCAAAACTCAGAAGTAGCCGGGGAAGAAGATAACAAGCAATGTTATTGTCAGGGCTCTTGGCAACGAATGGCTCCGCGCATGCGCAGAGCGCCGATCCATTTTAGCCAGCGGACACTAGGACCTGGACGGCGGCGGCCACGCATGCGCACTCGTGTTTGCTCGCCTGGCACCAATGGCAGGGCAGGGCGCACTATTTAAACCTGCCCTGCACTTACAATCATTGTCGTATGGTTTTGTTCCTGTGTTCCTGTATTCCTGTTGTTTGAGATTCGTTGCTGACCTGCCTGGACCCGACCTCTGCTGACTTCTCCTGCTCTGACCCCTGGCTAGTCTGACCTCTCTTTTGACCTCTCTTTTGGATATCCCTACCTGATCTGAACTACTGGTACCGACCCCGGCGAGTGACCCGACTATTCTTCTGCCTGCTGCCTTGTACTACGCTGACCCCTCTGTTACCGACCTGGCCTGCTTGACCACGCTCATCCATCCATCCATCCATCCCTCCATCCAGCCATCCCTGCTTCTGCCTTCTGCCTCTTCACGTCAGGCTCTCCACCTGCACAGACCCCCGGCGGATTCCTCTACCGCAGGCGGGTGTACTCAGGGGCCGTTACCTGGTTCCAGTCTGCTCCAAGTCCATCCCCACCATCAGGGGCCCTGGTGAACAAGCAGGCTGGGGCATAGACTCCGTGCTCTGGGGAATACTGTCCTGTGGACTGCTAGAGGTACCGCCAGGCGGTTGCTAACAGTTATTCAATTTACAGTGGTTGTGAAGGCTGAACGGTTTTTTTTTACTTTCATACATTCTATGCATGAAGGTAAAAATCCTTCCGCGTGCTGCCCCCCCCCCCCCCCCCCAGTCCTCCCAATACCTACCAGAGCCTGATCTCGATCCACCAATGTGCATGAGAGCAGCAGCTCTCCCGGCTCTCTCCCTTCTCATTGACTCAAAGACAGCAGTGGGAGCCCT